CAGGGACACTTCAGAGTCTATTCCTTCCATCATGTCGTTCACATATATCAAAAATAGCACTGGTCCTAGAACTGACCCCTGTGGGACCCCGCTCGTAACAGGCGCCCACTGTGATACCTCTTCACGTACCATGACTCGTTGCTGCCTCCCTGTCAGGTATTCCCTTATCCATTGCAGTGCCCTCCCTTTTACGTGCGCCTGATCCTCCAGCTTCTGCACTAATCTCTTGTGGGGAACTGTGTCAAAGGCCTTCCTGCAGTCTAGGAAAACGCAATCTACCCACCCCTCTCTCTCGTGTCTTACTTCTGTTACCTTGTCATAAAACTCCAGGAGTGCATGTGTGTGTGTGTGAGTGCATGTGTGTGTGAGTGCATGTGTGTGTGTGTGAGTGCATGTGTGTGTGTGAGTGCATGTGTGTGTGTGAGTGTGATTGTGTGATTGTGTGTGTGATTGTGTGTGTGATTGTGTGTGTGTGTGTGTGTGTGTGTGTGTGTTGTGTGTGTGTGTGTGTGTGTGTGTGTGTGTGTGTGTGTGTGTGTGTGTGTGTGTGTGTGTGTGTGTGTGTGTGGTGTGTGTGTGTGTGTGTGTGTGTGTGCGCGCGCGGTGTGTGTGTGTGCACATGTGTGTGAGTACATGTATGTACGCTTGTGTGTGTATACACTCACCTATTTGTGTGTGAGACCCAACATGTAATATTTGCACTGATAGCTCATTACAGTTGTAACCAGGTGTGGACGTGTGAACTGCTCATTACTTTATAATTTGTTCATGATTGTAACCACGTATCAACGTAAGTAAATTTACTTACATGATTCATTACCTTTGTACCTTGTTCAGCTATCAAAACTTTGGGGCCCAGTCCCTGGACCCATTATGTACTTCTAATCTTTTGACTACCGCCCACAGGATGGGTATGGGGTGCATAATCAAATCAAATCAAGTTTATTCTCTAAAGGATTACAGTGCTGAGTTAGCAGAATTTGGATATTGTGTGGTTTACATGTTTTAAAATACTAATTACAGAGGGGGCCACTAGAACACCTAGCATGGCTAGGCATTTCAGGCAGACTTAGATTAATTCTTAACTTTAAAATATTACAAATTATGAGGTAAGTTGGTATTATGGCTAAGTGACTAAATACTAGTTTGTGAGTTTAGCAATGTGAATGCTTTTGTTTTTGCACAATACATAGTTTCAGTACTGGAGTATCACAGGCAAACTTATGACTAGTTAGGATTCATTATTTTAAAATTAAGATTGATATTTCTGTGTTTATGGTCAAATGGGTGAGTGAGTGTAAATGTGAACCACCAGGTGGTATTCATGTAATTAGTTGATGGGGTGTATCGGGGAGATAAGATGTTTTCTAATGGTAGTTTTGAAGGTGATGAATGTGTCTGCAGTTCTAGAGTATTCAGGGAGGGTGTTCCAGATTTTAGGGCCTCTGATATACATTGAATTTTTGTACTGGTTTAGTCGGACATGGGGAATGTCATAGAGATGTTTGTGTCTGTTGTTATGCCTGTGGGTTCTGTCACAACTATCAAGAAAGCATTTTAGGTCAAGGTTAATATTGGAATTTAAGGTCCTGTAGATGTAGATTGCACAGTAGTAAGTGTGGATGTACTAAACAGGGAGTAAGTTTAGATCTATGAAGAGTGGGGGGTGTGTTGCCTTGCCAGGGATGGGATTTAGTGATTATTCTTACTGCGGCTTTTTGTTGGGTTATTTTGGCTTTAGGTGAGTTGCTGCAGTTGATCCCCAAGCACAAATAGCATAGGTGAAGTATGGAAAAATCAGTGAGTGGTGTAGTGTGAGAAGGGCATTTTGCGGCACTTAGTATCGTATCTTGGAGAGGATCCCAACCGTTTTGGATACTTTTTTGGTTATGTGTTTTATATGGGTGCTGAAATTCAGGTTGTTGTCAAGGTATAGGCCTAGGAATTTGCCCTCATTATGTCTGGCAATTAGTGTTGTCGATCTTAATGTTAATTTGCGCAACTCCTGCTCTGCTACCAAACATAATATAGTAGGTTTTGTCAGTGTTAAGCCTAAGTTTATTGGCTGTCATCCAAGTCGATATTTTGAGCAACTCCTCGTTAACAATGGTGTTGAGGGTGGCAAGATTAGGGTGAGAGATGACATAAGTCGTGTCGTCAGCAAAGAGAATGGGGTTCAGGTGCTGGGATACGTCTGGAAGATCATTGATGTATATGAGGAAGAGTCCAGGGACCAAGGACACTTCCCTGCGGAACTCCAGTATCAAGTGGCCGTGTTGATGATGCTGTGTCTTTAATGGTGACATACTGATACCTATTAGTAGGGTAGGATTTGAAATATGCAAGCGCATAATAACGATATGAAACTTGTTTGTAGGTACCCTAGTGTAAGTCAACTGCTGCTGGCTACACCCTGGGCGATCAAATAACTATAATTTGGAATGAGCTTTAAAATGAGCCAAGGTGTAGGTTTGAAATAACACGTCTACCAGTGTTTATATAGTGCTATGCACATATGGTTGACAATGCTTTTGCCTCACACACTGAATGCTCATGGCTTAATCCCTGGTACATTTCCCAATACCTGATGTCCATTCACCTAACAATAAGTAGGTACCTAGGTGTTGGTCGAGTGGTGTGGGTCACATCCTGGGGGTCAAGGATGAAGGACCCCCATGGAAATAAGACAGACAGCCCTCGATGATGCATTGATTTTCTTGGGTTATCCTTGGTGGCTAACCCTTTGAGTTAAAAATTTGAACAAATCTTATCTGTATTATAATACTCACCAAAGCAAAATTTTTGTCAACTTGAGGGTTACAAAACAGATTTTCTAAAGTACCTGTAACTTATTCAAGTGGAAAGGTAAGTTTAATTACATTTGTATGTTTTTATGTTTTTCAGGTGGTTTCGGTATTAATGTGTGCATGTGTCCTACTGCTGGCTCATCCATTAACCCTTCCAGGGTCCGTCCCGTAGATCTACGGCTTTATGTTCAGGGTCCAAACCGTAGATCTACACCGTGAGTTCAGCTCACTCTGATAAACTGTGAGTGGTAAATTTGGGCCTAGATATGAGAGAATATATCTATGTGGTATGTGTGCACCACATAAAACAAATCCTGCAGCACACTGTGTATAATGAGAGAAAAAAACTGAGACCGTGATTTTCGATTAAAAAAGCGACTTTGCAGTGTTTTTTCCATGTTTTTTATATTGTATTTGCGATTTCTTTGTCTCATTTGATAGAATGGAAGACATATTACAGAAATAGAGATGATTTTGACTGGTTTTAGCACTGGAAATGGCTTGAAACTGAGCTCAAAGTAGTGGAAATGTTAAATATTTGCCGATGTTCAAGAGTAAACAAACGACCTCACACGTCTAATACACACCAGCTGGTGGGTCTAATATACATTCACAAATGTGGTGATGATATTTATACAAATATTACAATATTGCATAACAGTAAATCTTCTATTTTTTGGTCTGAATAAAAATTCATAATGTGAATAAAAAATCAAAATGGAATTTATTTGTAAAGCCTCGAAACGTAACTGATGAACAGAAGAAATGTTAGTTTAGTGCCAGGAATACCTACATTGGTTATTCTGGACCCTATTTTGAAATTGGAATATTTTGAACTGTGTTAAATTGGCCAAATTACCAATTTATGATCACTTTATTTTGTAGTTGAAACAGTTGACTTGGCGATTTCTTGTGCTCAATCGGTAGAATAGAAGTAATACTAGTGAAATAGCTAAGAATTTGGTTGACTAGAATAATGTAATTGGCCTAAAATGGGAGTCAAAGTCGGCAAAATCGCTGATTCGTAAATATCGCTGACACATCAAAATTCGCGAGAGCATAATTTCGTCAATTTTCCATCAAATTTTGTACTTTTTGTTTTATTACCTTCACAAAAAGATTCTCTACCATTTCATAAGAAAAAAATTTTTTTTTTTTGGAAAATTCTTGGACACCACTTCAGATTTTGGCCTTGGACCCTGAAAGGGTTAAATAAGAGATAATTGCTCTTCTTCCCTCCCTAGGATTTTTTTTTTTTTCCCAACAAGTCGGCCGTCTCCCACCGAGGCAGGGTGACCCAAAAAAGAAAGAAAATCCCCAAAAAGAAAATGCTTTCATCATCATTCAACACTTTCACCACACTCACACATTATCACTGTTTTTGCAGAGGTGCTCAGAATACAACAGTTTAGAAGCATATATGTATAAAGATACACAACATATCCCTCCAAACTGCCAATATCCCAAACCCCTCCTTTAAAGTGCAGGCATTGTACTTCCCATTTCGAGGACTCAAGTCCGACTATATGAAAATAACCGGTTTCCCTGAATCCCTTCACTAAATATTACCCTGCTTACACTCCAATAGATCATCAGGTCCCAAGTATCATTCGTCTCCATTCACTCCCATCTAACACGCTCACGCACGCTTGCTGGAAGTCCAAGCCCCTCACCTACAAAACCTCCTTTACCCCCTCTCTCCAACCCTTTCGAGGACGACAAATTTTTACTAAACAGATTATAGTCAGTGAGAAACAATGCACCCAAAGGGAGCATACAATGTGTGGGAAATGGGAGGCAGTAAGATCTAATTTAGAAAGGATAGCTTCAATTCCTAAGATCAAGAATCCTTCACTGGCATCAATGCAGAGTGGCCACATCCAAGAGAAATATTTACTGCGTTTTTCGGCATATAAGGTGCACGAGTTAGCTGCTTGCTGGTACAAAGTTTCCAAGCAGTTGTAACAATGTTAGTAAACTGCTAAAGCCTAACCCAAAGCCTACCCTTGACCCTGATCCTGAGCAAATAAAGCACAGGGTGATTTTTCAACTTTTTTGTTTTTTTTTGTGTAAGCGTGATTGTGGGAGGGAGGGGGTGCCTTATATGCCAGAAAATACAGTTAATCTCAAGTACAGTATTCTGTTCATTGTGATTTGCTACCTTATACATACACAACAAATTGTTTTGCAAACCTTTAATCGGTGAATCTGAACAATTGTAGCTGCTCCACCATAGATTCTCACACAAGTCACATCTGTTCCATACGAAAATTTTCGAGCTTCATCATATATCTGCGATATCAATTCTCTTGTTGGACCCAAAACCAGCCCAATAGGTTGTGCACATCCATTGTGTTCACGTCGTTTAATGTTGTTTTCTAAAACATAATTGATCACTGGTAAAAGGAATGCTGCCTGAAAAAAAAAAAAAAATCTAAGGAAAATTTATACAGTACATGTACAATACTGGAAATTAACATCAAAACTACAGTGCACAGAACCTAGCAGTAATACTCTTGTGGACAATTCTATTTCTTATAGAATTGTACAGCACCCAGCAGGCATGTAAGAGCATATTAGATTGGAGACAAGAAGATTATGGAATTTGATGTGCTATTGTAGTACTATACCTAAGAGCAAGTTAACATTTATAAAGGAATTCAGGAAAAACTGGTAAGTTGAACAGTCCCAAAAGACTAACAGAGAGGGTGGGACTGTGGCAGTTCAAGAGGATTATCAGAAATGTGGTGTCAGCACACCTCTGCCAAGACAGCAATTGCAATAAATGCTGATTTTTTTTTTTTTTTTTTGGCAAGCCTTCCCTGGTGAGAGATGGGCAGTATGTTAACCCAGAAATTTAAAAATTCCTGTGTGTAAGCAAAAATATTGATAGAACTATTTTTTCTTAGTTTAAGAGAATATTTCTCTAAAAAACTACAAAGAGGAGAATGAAACCAGAAGAAAACCAACAATTTTATGTTTTGAAGTTAGCAAAAAATAATCACTTGACAGCAACAGCAGTGTAAATGTGCCAAATGGTATACAAGTTTAAATTGGTTTTCAATACATTGGCTGTCTCCCACCAAGGTAGCCACCCCCCCCCCCAAAAAAAAAAAAAAAAAAAAAAAATCACTTCTTCACTGTCTTGCCAAAGATGCACCAATACTACAGATCAGATGCCCATTCAAACTGCAAATACAGTGGACCCCATTTTTTGTCTGGTGTGGAAATCATACAATTTGGATTTCAAGCACTTTTCAGCGAAATTTTACCCAGGGTTTGGTAGATCCACTTGGAAATCGTCCACCCACCAGGACACCATTTCTCGCCCGTTCCAGACTCAGTCTTCCTCTCTCATCGAGTTAGCAATACTCTGAGTGTTCATCCATTGTTTTTTGTGCTTGTTTATTGATTACGACTGTGAAATAAGCCACCATGGGGCCCAAGAAAGTTCAGAGTGCCAGCCCTTTGGTAAAGAAAGTGAGAAACACGATAGAATTCAAGAAAGAACTGGTAGCAAAATATGAAAGTGGCACAAGTGTGGCCGAGCTTACCAGGATGTATGGGAAGTTGACATCAACAATCAGTACCGCCCTGGTGAAGAAAGCAAAAATCAAGGAAGCTGATGTTGCGAAAGGGGTAAATATGGTAACGAAACAGATCTCAAACAATCGAGGATGTAGAGTTGTTGTTGGTGTGGATCGACGAACAACAGTTAGCAGGAGATAGTGCTGTGGAGGGCTTTGATACCTTAAGTCCTTATGGAGGGAGATTCCCCTTCCAAACAATAACCTCTCCTCTCTCTCTCTCCTTCGCCTTCTTCCATACGCCAACAAGTCTTCAATAAAAGTATGTAATAGTGATTTAAATGTTCATTTATCCATTAAAATTAGAGTTTTATTTTTATTCTCATTGTTTTCGGAATGTAAAATTAAAGTTATTCTCAATAAAATGTTTTTTTTTTTAATTTCGTTGAGTGTCTGGAATGGATTAATTGGATTTACATTATTTCTTATGGGAAATATTACTTCGGTTTTCATCCATTTTGAATTTTGACCAACCTTCTGGAACGGATTAAGGATGAAAACCTGGGTATTACTTTATCTCCAGGGAAAGTTAGTAGATGGACCTATAACTTCTTAACAAATAGAACACAAAGGGTAATAGCAAACAGTAAAGTCTGAGGCAGCCACAGTGAAAAGCTCTGTGCCACAAGGCACAGTACTCACTCCCCATCCTGTTCCTTATCCTCATATCTGACAGATATGTAAACCACAGTACAGTGTCTTCCTTTGCAGATAACACCCAAATTTGTATGACAGTATCATCCATCAAAAACACTGCAAAACTCCAAGTGGACATCAACCAAATCTTTAAATGGGCCGCAGAAAACAACACGAAGTTCAACAAAGAAAAATTTCAGTTACTCCAATATGGAAAACTTGAGGAAATTAAAAGTGCATTTTAGTATAAAACAAATAAATAAATAAAACAATAAAGCGAAAAACTAATGTGAAGGACCTGGAAGTGATAATGTCAGAGGATCTCATTTTCAAAAAGACATCAATATATTTACCACATCTGCTAGGAAAAGATAAGATGGATAATGAGAACTTTCAAAACTTGGGATGCCAAGCCCACAAATGGCCCCTGTCAAAACAGGTGAAATTGTAGACCTGGAGAACATACAGAAAACTTTCACAGCACGTCTAAGTACAATAAAGCACCTAAATTACTGGGAATGGTTAAGTCCTTTGATTTGCACTCCCTGGAATGCAGGAAAGAAAGATACATGATAATACATATACACTTTGAAAATCCTAGAGGGACTAGTCCCAAATTTGCACACAAAAGCAAAAGACTGGGCAGGAGATGCAACATCCTCACAATGAAAAAGCAGAGGCACAAAAAGTACACTAAGAGACAACACAATAAGTGTCAAGGGCCCAAGACTGTTTAACTGCCTCCCAGCATACATAAAGGGGATTACAAATAGACCCCTGACTGTCTTTGAGAAGGTGCTGGACAGGCACCTAAAGTCAGTAGCTGACGAACTGAGCTGTGGTTCATACATTGGTTTACGTGCAGCCAACAGTAACAGCCTAGTTGATCAGGCTCTGATCCACCATGAGACCTGGTCACAGACCGGGCTGTGGGGGCATTGATCCCCAAAACCCTCTCCAGGTATACCCCAGGTAGGCACTGTACTTTCCACCTCCAGGACTCAAGTACAGTTAATGGGTTCCACTGAATCCCTTCACAAAATTTTACTTGTCCACATCTAACAGCCTGTAAAGTCCCAAGGTAACATTTTGTGAAGGGATTCAGTGAAACCTGTTAGCAGACTCAAGTCCTGGAGGCAGGAAGCACTGTGACTGCACTCTGAAAGAGGGGTAGGGATATTTGCAGTTTGGCAAGATAGTGATGAAGTGAATGATGGTGAAAGTGTTTTCTTTTATAGGTCACCCTACCTCAGTGGGACTGGTAAAAAGAAAATATATACACATACATACTGTAAACGCAAAAAACAGTTCTTATCTCCTCTAGGCACTCGACTAACCGTTTTGCCTGAACCAGTCTGAGCACAAGCCATGAGATCTCGACCATTCATAAGAATTGGGACTGCATACTTCTGAATTGGTGTTGGGTTTGTGTATCCAGCACGAAGAAGATTTTCATTTAATACATCATGAAGGCCCATATCAGCAAAGCTTGCCACAGCTGCAGGAATTGGATCATCTCCTGTTACCTATAAGAGTAAGACGAAGTCTTTAAAAAATCCAATAATTAGTGCCAGGTAACTGATATTTCACGTGCCATTTAAAAAAAAAAAAAAAAGGTTAATATGGTATGACAATATACTAAGCTATGTGATATGATACTTACTTTGAGGCACAGACCTTAGTATAAAATTATTTAGAAATAATCAAAATTGTATGTCTTCTCTACAAAACTTACTAAAGCTATATAGCATGTCCTAATAGAATACTCAATTCTCTTGTATTCATTGTAACTTATCTAATGACCATGTGTAATGTTAATGCTTTATTAATCTTGAGTTGATTTTAAGTTTGCCCAAAATGCTCTGCATATACAGGGGCTTTTGGCATGTACACCCAACAACTATACAGTGGACCCCCGGTTAACGATTTTAATCCGTGCAAGAGGGCTCATCGTTATGCGAAATAATCGTTATGCGAATGAATTTTCCCCATAAGAAATAATGGAAATAAAATTAATCCGTGCAAGACGCCCAAAAGTATGAAAAAAAATTTTTTTTACCACATGAAATGTTAATTTTAATACACACAAACTGAAAAAGGCATGCACAATTACATGACACTTACTTTTATTGAAGATCTGGTGATGATTGATGGGATGGGAGGAGGGGAGAGCATTATCTTCTTACTGTTTAGAAGGGAATCCCCTTCCATTAGGACTGAGGTAGCAAGTCCTTTTCTGGGGTTACTTCCCTTCTTCTTTTAATGCCACTAGGACCAGCTTGAGAGTCACTGGACCTCTGTCGCACAACAAATCTGTCCATAGAGCTCTGTACCCTCCCGTTCCTTCAAGACTTTCCTAAAATGGGCCATAACATTGTCATTGAAATAGTCACCACACCGGCTTGCAACAGCTTGTCAGGGTGATTTTCATCTATAAAGGTTTGCAGTTCAACCCACTGTGCACACATTTCCTTAATCTTTGAAGTAGGCACAATGGATTCCACAACTGGCATAGGCTTCTCAGGGTTAGCCCCCAAACCCTTCAAAATCTTTCTTAATTTCCATACTAATTCTCACCCTTTTTACCACAGGGTTGGCACTAGAAGCTTCTTGGGGCCCATGGTCACTTATTTTCCAGAAACAGCACCGAAAACACTGTAATAATACGAAATATTCCGAGTGTATGCTTGGATGCTTTACCGCGCGAGGCTGGCTGGGTAAAAACAATGGGACGGCCGGGCACATGTGAGGGCACATTGGACGTCTCGGACTGAAAATCGGTAATGCTGGGTTTTTAACGGTATGCGCGGCAAAATTTGCGATAAAAATGTAATCGGTATGCGGAAAAATCGCTATGTGATTGCATCGTTATGCGGGGGGGTCACTGTATTCCTTTTTAAGTACAACATGTATCATTGTCAAAATATATTATTATTACTGTACTTTTTGATTAAGGTTCTGGTGGCTGTGTTGCTTAACTGCCTCTCGCGTCACACAGCGAGGGCCTGGGTTTGATTCCAGCCCAGAGTTAGAGAAAACTTTCGGGCCAGGTTTATTCCACCTGTTGTCTATGCTTCCCCCTTCAAGTTAAAATGGGTATCTGGGAGTTAGTCGACTGGTGTGGGTTGATCCTGGGGACCACAGACCTTAATTTTTGCCCGAAATGAATCAGCTAAACAAGGGGCTTTCTATATTCGTAGCTGTATGGCACTGGACGTCAGCTAGGCCTCTATACAAGTAATGTACTTGTTGTAATTAAATTATTATTATTATAAGTGATATTCACACCAATAACTAGCACTAAATTCCATTAAAGATAACAGATAGATTTATTTCTCTGTAAGGGTACAGTGCACAATTACATGTTTTGGTTTGCTAAGTATGAAGAAAGCCAATATCATGCCCGAGGAATTTCGGGGAAGATAATCCTAGTAATAGGTACAACTTTAAAAACTAGACAAGTTAATAAGTGAGTTAACTTTAATTACAATCTCTTTATTTCTTTCTTTCAAACACACTGCCGTATCCCACAAGGGTGGAGGTGGCCAAAAGAAAAACGAAAGATTCTCCTTTTTTATTTTATTTTTTTTTAATTATCACAACGGCCGATTTCCCACCCAAAGGGCAGGGGTGGCCCGAAAAAGAAAAACTTTCACCATCATTCACTCCAATCACTGTCTTGCCAGAGGGTGCTTTACCATACAGATTTTTATAACTGTCAAATTAACACCCCTCCTCAGAGTGAGGCCCTGTACTTCCCAATCTCCAGAATCAAGTCCGGACTGCCGGTGGTAGGACAGCAACCACCCAGGGACAGTACTACCGTCCTGGCCAGATGACTGTGAAACAAAACCTGTAAACTGTTTTGCATGGTGGTAGGATTGCTGGTTTCTTTTACTGTCTCATAAACACGCTAAGATAACAGGGATATCTTGCTACTCCTACTTACACTTTGGAAATACTTCACAGCCACGCACATGCATATACTATATATACATACATCTTGGTTTTTTTCTCTTTTTTCTATAGAATGTGAGCTCTTGTTCTTTTTTTATTTCTTCTATTGTTCCATGGGGAAGTGGAAAAGAATCTTTCCTCCTGTAAGCCAGCGTGTCGTAATGAGGCGAACTAAATTGACGGGAGCAATGGGCTAGTAACCCCTTCTACTGTATACAATTACTAAAAAAAGAGAAGAAGTTTCTCCTTTTTTACATTTTAGTAATAATATACAGGTGAAGGGTTACTAGCCCCTTGCTCCGGCATTTTAGTCGCCTCTTTACAACACGCATGGCATTACAGAGAAGAATTCGTTCCCACTTCCCCATGGAGGTAAGAGGAAATAAAACGAAGACAAGAACTAGAATGAAAATAGAAGAACACACAAAGGGGTTATGTGTATATATAATGGCATGTACATGTATGTGTACGGGTTTGTGACCTACTGTGTAAGTAGAAAGTAGCAAGACATAACTGAAAATCTTGCGTAGTATGAAAAAAAAAAAAAGTACACAGCAATCCTTTCCTCATGTAAAACAATTACATGCTTCAGTTTACACTCACTTGGCAGGACGGTAGTACCTCCCTGGGCGGCTGCTGTCTTCACATCCTACTACCTAAATTACAATCTTATTGAATCTTACCCTTTGGACTGTTTCCGACGTTTAAATACGTCTTACGACGCTAAATGTTGCTGACGTATTTACGCTACAAATCTAGCGGCTTTCATTCGCGCGCCAAAGGCCCTTGTAGGCCTACACGGGAGAGAATGGGTCTCAGTTGTCGGTGTGCACCATGTGAAAAAAATCTGAGGACCCTAGCGGTTGAATTGTTGGAAGCCATTGTTGTCAGTCCATTTCACCATGCTCTCGTAAGAGTTCCTCACTACTCGGCTGATTGGAGGGTTTTTGTTCCAAGTGATAGCTCTAACAGCGTTGAAAATGTCAGTGACAGTGCAATTCAAGGTTTTCAAGGTGAGTGTTACGAGAAAAGTGCCCAGGATAACGTAATAGTGACGCGATATAACCAGCTGACCCACAACCCATTTCGGACCTATGGTGCTGGTGCCGGCATTGTTCACATTCACCTCTTCGTCCTGTACCAAGGGACGAACGAGTGAAAAACTATTGGTCGTTGTACAAACACCTGATGATCAGCAGTGTAGTGATAGTGATTTCAAGGTCATTGAAAGCAGTTCTAGTGGACAGTTGAGAGTGAATTTTCCCCAGTGAAGCGCCAGTATGTACGACGTAGCATGCGGTCTTGGTAGTGTTTCATATGTTGTTCAAGGGGAAGAGAAACCTTGGGAGCACATCCCGTGACAACACCACGGAACCTGATAGTGAAGATGGACGATAGATTTGTAACTGAATGGGAATGAATGGTGTCAGTGAGGACGGAGGCAGTGGTGGTCGATAGTGAGGGTGGCACGGGCCATTGTGGCACATCACGGGCCACGCTATAGACTCGCCGGCTGACTCGCAGAACAACCAGGCCTCACCCTACCCCACACTGCCACAACCTGCAACCACACAACCTGCACAGCCAACAACAACCAACCACGTACAATACCAGACCCACCAGCAGACCGCATCTGGATGGCAGGACGGTGGAACGGTTTGTTCCCAGTCCATGACTTTGATGAAACACAAAGTGGATTTTTTAAAAATAAAAAAAAAATATAAAAAGGGTGGGGCCCCCATCTGGTCACTTAGGGAACAATGCCAGTGAAACGGAACTGCTTTGAGTTATTCTTCGATAACCCTGCATGGACATCATGTCAGTGGAACAACAACATACTGTGAATACACCATGGCAAAATACAATTCTTTCTCACCAAAATCACGGCGACACAGGGGTAAGGAGACAACTGTGGCAGAGATGTCCTGTTTTTTGCCCACAATACATGCTTATGCCACATGTGTATAGCTCTCTGTCACCTCATACTGGACAAAACAGATCGCCTGATTTCAAACTCCAGGTTTTAGTGAATTAAGGTGTCAATCGTTTCCTGATACTGTTGCGTATGTATACACTTTTCAGCAAAACCAGGCCTGACCAGAAGCGACAGGTTATATAAGATAAGATATGTGTTTATGTACTGAAACAAAAGTGCTGCATGTATTTTTATCCCTTCAGGAAGCGTGTTATTGATGAGTCCTTGATTTTTTCAAAGGAAGACTCTCATTCAAGCAATATTACCAAGCAGAGGAAACGTCTTTGGTATAAAGCTATTTGTACTGTGTGATGCAGAAGTGGTCTTGTTTTAGATATTATTGTTGATTACACTGGCAGTAATACTTTGAGAGATACATGAAGTTATTGGGTATTTGGTGATGTGGTTCGGAACAAATGATGCAACCATATCTTGGTATGGGGCATATGTTATTATTGATAAACTGGTAACAAGCCCTTACTCAGTGATTTTCTTGCGAGGTGAACTTGTACAGACGTGTGTGGCACAGTGGTGGTAATCGCAAAAATATGCCAACGGTTCGACGCTGGCACTCGCAGAGGTGAGGTGCAAGCTTTGCGGCAATGACATCATGGCATTTCGGTGGCACTGACATCGTGATGTCACATGTTGACATCAGTTCACAAATACGAAATGGTACCCAGTGCAGGACAACAGAGAGACCAATGAACCCATTCTTAAGCCGCCCTGTTCATGAGACTACAAC